ATTTCAATGATTATTTTTTTCAATATTGTCCTCTTGTGTTTTTTTTTTTTTACCATACCATTTAATTAAGGATACTAACAAATATGAATAACTGGCTTAGGGAAAAGTTCTTGATGCGCAGAATGATGATTTTTGCTTGATAGTTGTTAAGTTAAATTTTCATATTTTCAAAAATAGATCTTTGCAAAGTTGGCTTATGCCACTACTAACTTGCTTCAAAATTATCTTCTGTTTGAGATATGTGTTGTTGGAAACTTTTTGAGCTCCCTATCCGCAGTCAACATGTTAATTGCTGCTCATCCCTTTTTCTAATTTTTATTTTAAACTGTTGTTGGGAGGCATTTTTAATTACTGTTTGAAGGCTTTCAAAGTGCTGTTTAGAATACTTTTAAAATTGTTGTTTGAGAAATGTTAAAATACCATTTTGGAGCTTTAAAAAAAATGTTGTTTTGGAGACATTAAAAAAAAAAAATTCAAGGCTATTTTATTCGCTGTTTCGAAGTCATTGCGGGTGTCGATTTGGGTCATTTAAGTGATGATTTGGGGGCGGTTTAGGGACTGATTTATGACTATCTTAAACATCATTTTGGGCCTGATTTCGGAGAGTTTACACATTATCTTGGACTAGATTTCCTAGCTGATTTTGGGATATTTAAGATTAATGCTTTGAGCTTACATGAGAGCCGTTTGGGAATTTTAAAATTACTGTTTAAGAGCTGATTTTGAGATCTTTATCTATTGTTTTGGGGCTGATTTTGAGAGCTTTGTCTACTGTTTTGGAGGCATTAAACCCACAATCAGCGGAGTTGTTTTAATCAATGTTTTGAGGCATTTTGGTGAGCTAATTTTGAAGCAATCTACACATTATTTTGGCGAGATTTATGTAGCCTTTAAGTGCCGATTTACATGCGGTTTAGAATTGGTTTTACGGACCCCTTTTTGCCCACTGTTTTGGGTTTCAATTGATTGTTATTTAAACGTTTTTAGGTTGATCCACTCGTTGTTTTTCCCCTTAACTTTATTAGTTTTGGAAGTGGGTCTGCCTCATCTTTCTTTTATTTTACTTTTTTTTAAATGGTTAAGTCATAAAGATGGGGATTGATGATTTAATTAATTGGAAGATATAGAAAACCTTAAATCACATTAAGCATAAGTTAAAAAATAGGTTTCCTAGAATTTTAGGAGCATACACCTTAGGTGAAAATCCATCCACCTAGTACTCAGTGTAGACCTCTTAGACTTTAGGTGTACACCCTAGGTGAGAGCCCATCCACCTAATCCTCAGTGTAGGCTTTCTAGAGCTTAAGTGTACACCCTCGGTGAGAGCCCATCCACCTAGTTCTCAGCATATGCTTCATAGATTTCATGAGCACACCCTAGGTGATAGTCCATCCACCTAATTCTCAGCATAGTCTTCCTAGATTTTAGGAGCACACCCTAGGTGAGAGTCCATCCACCTAATTCTCAGCATAGACTTCCTAGATTTTAGGAGCACACCCTAGGTGAGCGTTCATTCACCTAAGTTTCGAATAAATAACGAAACTTGGCACTTAACTCTGATTCACAAACTGATCAAGACACCAGACACCAGGATGCATCGAGACGTAGTTCATGCTTCCTTAATTAAATCAACAGTGAAATTCCCTCAATGACTTAACCTACAATAAAACCCAGTGCATCGGGATTTGAGCTTGAATATTGCACTCAAATCCTTCTAGCAATTGGGGAAATTTCTTAACGCCACATATGGGTCATCGGACTAGGATTAATCTAGGGTCTAACTGACAAGGGCGATGACGACATTGCTTATGTGTGCTTAAACGAGAGATACGAAGTGGGATTATTAGAATAGTATCTCCTACCTCAAGGATCTTCAACAAGGGAGAGGGAAGGATCCATGATACTATTCACCGATTTTTGGTGGGGTGGGATCGTTGCCCTCGACATTCTTAGGTTGTCAGTAGTTCTAACACGATTAGAGTGACTGACCTGTGGACTACACGACTTTACAAAATATTTACAAAAATAAAATAAAAATTTTTTTTGCATGATTAAAAGAACTATGCATAAAAAAAGGACTTAAACAACTTTTACATGAGAATCAAAGAATCTTTCTATGAAAATTTATAAAGGTCGACGGCTAGTCACTTGGATTAAGGTTGAGGACTATCTTCCGTAGATTGTCGGGCTGGTAACTCTTGTTCAAGATCGGGAAGCACACAGTCCAGCTCTGAGTCTCCCACTTTTAACAATATCTTATACCCAATCCTGATCTTTCATATGTGGCTAAAGGTTTCTTTTGCTTGTGATTTTTACAACTCATTTTTCTGACTTTCGCATTGGGTTTTCTCGCCTTGTTTAATTTTCTTACAAGTTTATTTAAATCTGCTGCAAATCATATTATGCTCGCAACATTAATAACGCAACAGTAGCAAATGCTCAGGTACGCTTTTACAGTTTATCTACAGTATTTTACGTTACTGTATTTTACCTTTCAAGTAGTTTTTATTTACCTGCAATTTGACTACTCTGCATGTAAAACCAAAATTGAAACAAAACGAAACCAAACATTGACACCAAAACTGTGAAGCACAAACTCCCAATCTCAAGCACTTAAACCCTGGAGCCGGCGCGACGACAGGAGCTTGGAGCCAACTTTGTGGGCAGCACGGCGAGGAATTCAGACCGAGCAACGAGAAGATCTTATTCAGCATTATCTCTTCCCAGCATAATAACAACCCATAGGATTTCGAGGTAGCTCGCCCAGCGCGACGTAAATCCTCACTCCCTTTTTAGGCTCCTGTACAACCATGTTGTGCAGCGTAAGTCCTAGCCCGCCTTAGGTTTCGAGGTTGTCATGTGATACGACGTAAACCTACTTATCTCTGTGGGTTATTTGCATAATCGGGTATTATGCAAATGTAAGCCCCAAATAATAGAATTGGCAGGATTAAAAATTCAAATAACATCTTCTCTAAAATGCAGCAACACAGTAGGATAGTTTGGGAAGTCACTGAGGGTTCTCCTCAGGATCTGTGACATCCCCTACCCTTTAATTCTATTGAACTCCTGAAAGAATTGTTCCTACTTGAGTCATTCCCACTTGATTTTCCTCGTTCTACCGTGAAAACCTAAACCTTGAATTCTTGAAGACTAGAACCACTGATCATTATCGAGAGTTTTTCCCGTCACTTGAGATGTAATTAACTCTAGGGGTTTGTCTCTATAGAGAACTTGGAACCCAGGTAAAATAAATCATACTTAATCTTTGTATTAAATAGGGAAACTTGTCGGTCATAAATAAAAGGTACGCAGACCAAACGGATGTCACAAATCTCTTAGTTTGCAAGATTGAGTTTATCGTTGAGATCTACATTTCTCTTTCGGAAGGGTGTAGTATTCGCGTTATCGGGCACAATTATGCAAACTATTGGACAAATGAGATCCATTTGGTCTCATTTTTCAAAAATTAAAACATACTGCTTTTAAAACTCAAACTATATATCTATTATATTAAATTAAATTTAAAAAATTATTTTCATATACCATATTTTCAAATAATCTATCGAAAAAGTTGACCGACAATGACGTATGGTGAATAACCTCAGCATATTTTAGCATATTATGTGAGAGAGTTAAGGAGTAAACAGATCTTTATGATTGAAGTTCATTTGAAGCACAGATCAGAAAAAAATCACATGGGAAAAAGCTCCGCAAAAACATAGATTAGAAGTCTCTCTCAGTCGTCCCAACAATGACCTTGAATCTCTCTCTATACATCGTGACAATCCCCAATGAATCAAGACAAAGAATTGCTCATGTAAGTCTCCTTCTTAAACGGCTCAAAAAATTCCAATAAGTAATCCTTTAATTCCTCCCACAAGCGGAACTGGTATCTAGCCAACCTCCACTGAAATCAAGTTAGGGTTTTCTCATCCAAACATAACTCTGACAACATGAGTTTCACCTCCCCATTTATATCTCAGTGAAATATCACTCCAGCTGGTACACCCACCCATATGTGTCTTCTCCATCAAGAATCGGCATATTCAACTTCCTAACACTAGCATCTCCACCTCAACTTCCTCTTCCTGTTCCTCTTTCTCTGGTGATTTACCCCCATGTAACTAGGGTAAAACTCCCTCCTTCGACCATAGCCATACCCCATCTCAGCTTCTCTCATTCCTTTTTCGTGCTCCTCCCCACCC